CAAGTATGAAAGCAAATCAATACATTTGTAAAACACAATCCCCAAATATTTATGTATGAAATTAATTAAAAATAAGATTATATAATTGTTTAAAAAGAATATCTATTTTTGTGTTGTCTTCTTTTGTCCATTAATGCCTATTTTTGAGGGTTTTTTTCTTTAAAGCACATGGAAAAAATGGAAGTGCCTGGAATTAAAATTAAAGTGAGAGGCATGTTATTTTTATAGTAGGTCTGAAACTAAACATATGAAGTAAATCAACTTTAAAAATACAGAACATATATGAGACAGTAAACAGTTAATGGGGAAATGATGTGTAAGGCTTCAGCTTGCCAGTCAACAGGCTATATAGACTAACAGGAGGGATATTTAAGATTAGTTGAGTTAACAACTGAACGACCAGGCATCGTGCAGCAGTTTGAGCACCAGATTGTTACTTTGACTCACTAACATAAAGAAAGGGCAGCTTTCACTCCGGCTGTAACCCCAAACAACCTGAACCCTGGAGCTCAGAAAGCTGAGATGTTTCGTCGCCACTGTCTGTACGTCAAGATAACAATCACATCCAGGGTTTTTTGCTCTGCAGATGATGCCAGGAGTAAAAAAGAATGTGGGAAAATGCATATGATGTGCAGTTTACTAACATCAAGCTGCTTTGTCTGTGGGTTTTAAAGTACAAACAGTTTTCAAACTCTCTTTGCCAAAGTATGCAAGTTTCCACTTCAACTGGTGATAGCCAGTGAAGGGCCAGCAGGGCCACCTGCACAGAAGGTAAATGCAACATGGCAGGATTGTGAACCTCCCTAGGGATGCTGAGATAGCCACATGGCCCACCAGATCTGCCAGGGTGGCCCTGGTGACACCCGGCTGGGTGCCGTGCTGGGCAACATGCAGCTAAGCCTGGGGATTAGCTCACGGTACCACCTATCTGATGAAAGCAGAGCCAATGAGATTGTTTTCCTCTCTGCGTTTATGACCGCCCCCTCCCTCTCTGTGTCTCTCTACTATCTCGTTTTCTACTCTCTGTATCTGGCAGCAGTGCAGAGCGCGTACATGCTACCATGCTGGTAATAAAATGTATTGTTGGCTCTGGCATCTTATCTTGGAGCCAGGAGTGAGAGCCAGTCCAAGGAGGAGGACATTACCTCCATCTGAAGAGTTGACTTCCCCCAAATGATGAGACACCTACTCTTACAAAATGACTGATAGCCGCATTTAAAGCAGACTATACTGCATTTTAAAGGACAGTCAGTCCATTAAGTCCCTCACTGATGAGTTTCAAACACACTTCCTCCATATTTTTTACACATAAGTGACTCTTCAGCATCGATCATGTTTGCTTGCAGTTTTTTTCCATATGTCCACAGGAGAAAATTAATGGAAGAAGACCAATATGTTTTTTCTTGACAAAGGAGCTCACGTAAATAATGACTCTTGTCTCTCAGAAGGAGAGGCAGATGCAAGTAGTGTGATGTTTTTATAGAGCCACAAAGCTTCTTCAGGAGGATGTTCAGAAGCAGCTATTTGCATCCTGCCTCTGATCTGTCTCTCCACATCTTTGCTTATTGTCATACTTTGAACAAGTCATTTTAGATGCCTTAACTTAATGAAGCCTGAAACTTAGAGGTGGCAGATCAGATAGCATGTTGGTTGTTTTGCCATTTATGAAGTCTTGCTGCTTTTTGGGGTCAGTTGCAAAACTCAGCCGACTACACATTTCTTTTTATACCCAGTCAAAATGTGTTCATCTGATCAACATTTGAGATTTCATTCCAAAATATCACCCTGACACTCTCTCTCGTTAAAGTAAAACTCACTTGATGAAGAGACATTATTAGGTAGCTATGGGCCTTTGCTATCAAAATAGCTCAGCTTGTGAGGAGAGGATCGCTTATGCATTTGAAAGGTTAGGCTCTTATCCTTCATGCAGAATGAATGTCTGACATTTTTTGATGAAATCCTTCAAGTTATACTCTGAAAAAGGTCTGTCATTCAAACAAATTAGATCTAAATCAAGCTGCTTGAGTCTGTCCACCCTGCTCTCACGTCATCTCTGCCTGTACCAACCTCACTGTTGCTTTCTAGTTAAAATGGACGTGAGTGTTATTTTTGCAGAGTGTGAATTAAAGCAGAATCTGCTGTCTGCAGACAGATCGTCTGAGTGTACCTAAGAAAGTAATGGCCTTACACATAATGTTAAACCTCTTTGCTCTCAACAGAAATTTAGGTTTTGTCTTTCATATCAGCAAATTTAATGCACTCTCATGCCCAAGGAGTACCTTAATGTCCCATTATAACCTCATTCATGCACTTTAATGTTCTTAACAAATGCTGTAAGAATTTTTTGCAAGGGGACAGAATTACTCAGTTGATAGTCCAGTAAAGTAACAGTGTATATACTGTAATTTGTCAACTCCAGAAAGTTGATTCAGGGTGTGAGTTTAGAAACTCTATTTCCCAGAGGTCTGTTCATTGAACTAATCAGGCAGTACTTTGGCAGTTCCTTTACTTTTCCCTGTTCCTTGAATGCATCGTCAGAAAGATCCAGAACCCAAAAATAGTGCACTCATGGACCAACATAAATCACCCTCTAGACCTTGCCTAGCCAAAACCCTTCACATCCCCACCTTCCCTCCCTCCCAGAGCGACTTGAGGCTGGGCACAGAAGGGACGGGGCTGCCAAGGCCCAGCACATGGCTCTGGGTCTGAGGATGACAGAAGCCGAGGTCCCTGCAGGGCCCTTCAGCTCTTACAAGACTCTGCCCCCCATACACAGACCTCAGGCGAATCGGGAAAGCACACAGTCATCCCCCCAGGAGAAGTGAGGTGACGGGGACCATGATTCCTTAGAGCTACACTCCCTTTTTTCCTCCACTTCTTCCCCGTCCCTTCTCTCCTGCAGGCTGCGTCCTGCACATGTGATACAACAGGCAGCCTCATGCTGCATTGCCCATACACCTCTCTGTCCCTGTCTGCCTTGCTTAAAGCCATGTTCTCTGGTGGAGCATCAAAACTGGGACACCAACATGACACTTGTAGACAGGGAAAAGATGGAGATGTGGTGCAGCACATCAGGCTGATCGCTACATGTGATACAGCTGCCATAGGTTTGCATCAGCATACTGGGCAAGTAATTTTAACAAATAATCAATGCCTTCCGCAGAGAAACAGGGAATAAACCAGAGGGAAAAAGGCAGTTTGGTCCGATGATAGGGGCAGGGAGGGAATGCTTGTAAAAAAAAAAATCAGTGACAGTGTGATTGGTTGGTTAGTTTTTATTTAACCAACATGCAGCTTTCAGGGTTGTTAAGCAACATGTCGGTTTAATTCACTTAGCATTATTAGTGCTTTCCAGGGAGTCCTGGGAATTGAGAACAAAAAAGAACAATAACTTGAATCATCTAGAATTCAGATATCATTCAGAGGATTATATATGATTTGTTTCTCACTTAGATCTGGCTTGTTGGTTTCATATACCTGAGGGGCACCAGGATACTGCACACTTGTCTTGGACACAGAGAGGAAGACTTTCCTCTTTTTCAAATGTTATGTTCTTGCTTTAAATAGCTGCTGCAGCTAAGAGAAGCTTTGTGATTCAGCCGGGTTCAACTCTGTCTGCCCAAAAATGTTTACGAACATAGATAAAATAAGTATTTTTAAAAGAGAAATATAAGTGACACTTAAGAGGACATTTTTATATTTAGAAAATAATCCATTTTCTCCAGGTTATGAATATGAAGAACTAATAAAATCAGCACATGACAGGCCATTTTCCTCAATAATGGGGTGTTTTACCTGCAATTGTTTACATACTTGCAAAAAGCATGAATAATTTGATTTCTGCATATCAAGGAGACGAAAGTGTAGGTAAACTCATGGTTATTAATCCCCTGCAAGTATTTCTGACAGTGGCTTTAAAGAGTCTTTAAACAGTCTCACTCAGTTCCCTGAGGAACTTTAAAGTCACATCAACCGCCTTTATGAGCCATTCCCAGAGCAAAACGGATGACATTGAGCATGCCTAGATCCAATATTCTCCAAGCTGAGGATACATAAAGACCGCTGCTCATCTGCGCCTGCCTATTACAAGTATTAGTTTTTGTATTAGATTCCCTGCTCAATATGGGCTTGTTTTGGAGTTAGTCTCCACTTTCAGAAAAACAAGAACCAGAAAACTTGGAACAAAAGCAGATGGATTTTTTTTCTGTCCTCAGATTTGCAGAGTTCATTAGCTCTCTCATAATCTGCCGATGTGGCGATAAAAAATGTGCACCAACAAAAAGCACTAAGCCTTTTCTTGACATGCCATTAAACTGTGATGCATGACTATTGCTGGGAGTACTCCGTCTAAGTACTTCCAGTTGAAAGGTCAACAGAGAGACATGACAGCGCGGTACGTTTTCTTATTCGCCTTGTAGCTAATGTCTGTTGGTTTGTAGAGATTTGGGGTTCATGTCCTTTAAAGTTGTGATGCATGAAAGAAGGCACAGCAGCTCTCCTCCTTTCATGGTGGTGGGAGGAGTGGGATTATGGGCCAGCCCTGTGCAGCTGTTTTAATTGACATAACCTGTTTATCTGTAATAGTCCTTGAGCTCCTTTAGAAAACACCCCTCTCATTTTTCTGCCCCTTTATCTGCAAATCCAAGTTGTTATTACAGCATATGAAGCAGCAGCTGGTATCTTCCATCACAACTACTACTAATGGCTTTTAAAGTAGTTACCTGCAAAGTCCAGACATCTATTATGATCATATTCTCGGACTGACACGGCACAAAGGTCTGCTGCTATCAGGAGGCAACATCCTTATGAATTATTGTTTGCAGCCAAGGTAGAAAATTGTACTTTGTGGCTCCGTTTCCCCCATGATAAATCAACCAGTCACTTTTCACATCTTGGACTCTCAAAGCTGCTGAGCGTAGGATTTTTTGCCCCCCCCCACCACCACCACCGCCACCACCACACACACACACACACACACACACACTGTTTACCCATTTCCTTCTCCCTCTCTGCCACTGTGAAAAAGGTTCTTGTAGGTTGTTTGTTGCCACAGCCAGTTTCTTCCATTTCTCAACCAAAGATCTTTGCTCCTTCCTGATTATTAGAGCCAGCGTGAGCTGCTTTTTTCAAATGTTTATCCTAACAGTACGTTTCCGGTTCCCTGGAAGGAAAAAAAAATACAAGTGACAGGGAAATAATTAGACAAAGAGAGGGTGTATTTGTCAGTTGCTATCAGATCACTGTTAACATGGTTCCTGGACTGTCTCTTAGCTTTGTGAGAATGAGAGGTGAGGCAGCACCCTGTATCCCTGACTACATCTCCTCTGGTAAAGTAATCCTCTGTGTGGCTGCGGCGAGATAAGGCCCTCACACTTGCTCACAGCCTCGATGAAGCAGAGTCTGGAAGAAGTTGGCCGTCACTGCGGCGACACTGGGATAAACAGAGGTGATCATTGCTCACCGAGAGGAGCTGGAGTCTTAGTAGTACACTGATCTTCTGTCAGAGCCAGGGTCATGGAGCCAGAGAGAGATATGGACCAGAGAAGAAGAAGAGGTGGAGGGGAAAGGATGATAGGAGAAGAGGATGGATGATGCAAGAGAAACAAGAAAACTGCAGAGATGAAGGTGACAAGAAAGATGAAAAACTGGATGAACAAAGAAAATAAAGGATGAAGGGAGGAACATGGAAAAGAGAAGGAAGCGACAGGAATTTTGAAAATTACTGAGCAGTTGAATGATAAGAATAAAGAGATGAAATGATGGAGAAAGAAGAGTTACCAGAACTGACCTATGCAGAAAAGATAAGCAAAGAAAGAAGAGGAGAGAAAGGGCCAAGAGAAAAGATAAGGGAAAATGAAGAACATAAAGAAGAAAAGGGTTGGGAATGCAAATCTCTTTGTCTAATTGAAGAGATGGAACAAAGGTGGCAAAATGTAGTAAGAGAAGAAGTTGATCTCAGAGAAACCTAAAGAGAAATGCAGGGTAGGAGGAGAGAAAAACAAAGACAAGCAGACGTGCAGGGAAAGTGAAAGAGATGAGGTGAGGCCCCTTCATCTAGACGCACTACAAAGAACATAATTAACAGTAGTAAAAACCTGGCTTCCCCTCACCTACTTCAAACAGACCGCTGCAGGTTACCTTGATGTACAACAGCATGCTCGCCAGCCGTGTTGGCGCACATAGTGTTGAGGTTTACCTTCTATTGCATTCCGATCACGCCGCCATTCTCCAGCCCGATTAGGACGATTAATATTAATGGCTTGGTCGTTTCTCGCTGCTGATCAGTGCTCTCGGCTAACTGGCTCCCTGCGTGGCGCCACACCTTGCTGCAGGTGACTGTCAGGTTTGATTATAGGCAGATTAAGGGCTCTGCTTCCCTCAGCCACTGTTGGACATACTCAGATAAGCAGCATAAGTGCCGGACAATTGTTCACTGTCAGAGGTGATTCAGTGAGGTTTGACAGCCGGGCGATTGCGCCAGGTTACACTGTAAAAGAACCCATGTAGTTGAAGAGCCTTTAATTACAACAGCTGCAGATGTCAGGGATCCAGGTATCAGGACTTTTTTTTTAACCTGTTTAATTGTAGCTAAATATCCATGGATAGGAATAAAAATGGAAGGAAGACTCCTAACTACTGCTGCCGTGATCAGTCCAAACACCAGTGGCCACACCCCAATCTGTGATGTCGCACCACCTGTTTCCAATCAGCTGTCAAAGGTGACGACTTACAACAATGTCACTAATGTGGCAAGATGTGCAGTATACTTCAAAGTTTAAGCACACAGAGAGCACATATACAGTAAATTACTGGTATGTACAAGTAGTTCTTTGCTGTACTACTGCTATATTCTGTTTCTTGTTAACACACTGTGAGAACTACAAATTATCAAACATTTGTTTGCAGTTATATATTTTTAAATGTTTATATGAGGAAGCATCTGTAGACCCAGGAGAGTTATATATTAGTACACTGGAGCACAGCAATTTAGAATATGGATACCCCATTATTAGGTTTTATTTTTTCAGATATGTTTTATATAGCGCAATTAAAATCAACAAGATGTTGGCCAAAGTGCTTTATTAAAGGACAGAAGATCATATCACCATCCAGACCAGAAAACAAAATTACAAGCAGTTTGAATCAGACTAAAAACTTAATCTTGATTAAAATCAAGGGAATAAAACTAAGTTGATTGTTAAAAACGGAGCGAGCGGATGCCATCCAAATATGTAGAGCAAAGGTATTGCACAAATTAGGGGCAGCAGAAGAAACGGCATGCTCACCTCTAGAATTTAGTTGAACCTTCGGGACTACTAGAAGCATCTGGTCCTTAGACCTAAGCATCCTAGTAGGAACACAGAGATGTAAAACATTGGGGGTATAAGAGGGAGCAGAACCATTTAAGGCTCTGTAGGTCATTGGAAGTTTTTTGAAGGAAAATTGGGAACCGTACCGGGAGCCAGGGGAGTGCAGCAAACGGGCCGCAACATGTTTGGACCGATTGCAGCTGATCGAAATACGATGCATTTATGCCCACATAAAGGGAGTTATAAAAATAGAAATAAAAGCATGTCTGAGCTTTTTATGATTATTAAAGCTAAAAAAAAAAACTGTTTAACCTTCGACAGGAGTCTTAAGTTGAAAAAAATCCAGATTAAACAACAGAATGAAGTTGTTTATCCAAAGTCATAATACAGAGGAACACACATGTTTCTGAAAGAAGGTTTATGCCCTAAATCAATGAAGGAATCAGGAACAATAATAAGAATTTGCCAATAAGATAAGTTAGCTGTTTTCCAGTTTTTTGCACATGGGCATTTTCTAGCTCTGTTGTGCCAGTTCCGAGGTCCAGGTTGTGTCCAGTCTGATGCCGAGCAGGGGCAGACAGCATCAGGGCTTTATGGTAAACAGCGTTCTCAGGCTTTTCCACAGTGATGGATGAGGCAGTGAAAGTGGCTGAAAGGTAAAAGTGCATCCTGTACTGGGGGGGCGGGCTGGCCGTCCACCAGCTGCTGTTCAAGTCATTGTAACAAATTAAATGCTGATTCAGCATTCCTGTGCCTCTCCCCTTCACATGCTGCTGTGATGTGGTGTGAGGACACATTGATCCATCTCATCCTCAGGGTATATGCTTTACCTGAGTGCCACAATGCGTTCTACTGTTGTTTGCAGTCATAATGAATTTGCCACCTATTTAAAAATCAGCGAATTATTTTAAAATATTCATATGATTCATACAGCTTCACGTGCAATAGGAAATCACTGCAAGGCAGCAGCTGTAAATGTCCTCATCAGCTCAATACAGGTTGTTTTGTTCAAGTGTCCTGTGGTAGATATAAGCATAGTGTGTGAAAAGCATCTCTTAATATTAAGTTAATACCCACTTTTGAGCAGAATTGGCTCAACTTCCCCTCAGCCGGACCAGTAATTACGGTAACAGTGTCGGGTTGTGTTGCAGCGGCCGTCATTAATCGTGTGCCATCAACCAACAGCAGTCTGGGCTCCTCTGAGAGCCAATCAGGTATCAGATTGCTTTGGGAATAAAAAAAACAAGGCTGAGCAAGAGAAGTGTCAGCGTTGCTCACCCTCATCTGTCTTCCTTGGGGCGGGGGGGGGCTGCGTGATCCTTGACCCCTGCAGAGAGCTGCAGCATCCATCACAGCATGTTAGGTAATGTGGTTAACTATCTACTTCCTCTGTCAGAATCTGAGCGGCTGCTGGGGACTGTAGGGCGGTTTGTCTCCAGGTAGACAATCCTTTCTGCTGGCCCTGACAAAGAGATCAGGTCATTATGAAGTGATCTGCAGAGGTCGCTGTGAAAAATGAGTGTAGTCTTTGGGTGATTTGGTGTTTGAGGGAAAGCACATGTGGGATGAAGAACCTTTTTTAAAAACTGAGGTCTGTGCTCGATAGTGTTTTTTTTTTTTTTTTTTTAATGTTTTAGGGTAAATTTCTTCAAACTTCTAATTTATTTGTGTTGTCCAGCAACATTTTTTCCAAGCTTTTAGCCAAATTTCACTTCATCTGCAAATAGAGTGTACTCAGTTGTCATTACATGACCTAGTACTGTTGTTTTTTCCCCCATTTTTGAGTGTGACAAAACAATCACTACTGCCTTTTTGTGGCGTGATTGGTCTCCAAACAGAAAACACAACTGGATGATTTGATGACCTCATCTTGTCAGGCCTGCAGATCAGTACACCAGTCTGCTTTGTAGAGACCCCGAGTCACAGGCTGTAGATGTAAATGCACTCATATCCAACGTCTTGTCCAGATATGAAGCGATGTTTCTCCTGTGCAAACGCAGCTGCAGTGTGATGCTACTGTATGCACAGAGGAACCTAATTGATTGTGTGCAGTTTCAGTGGCTTAGCATCTGGTGCTGATGATAACCCCCCTTCTGTCCTGCATCAGTCGGACATATTGATGAAGCACTCAGGGCTGTAGTGCAACATTTACTCGGTACATTAGCCCATTACAGTGATGGGCAGACACGTAAATGGAGACTCTTTACCTGAAGAGGGATTGTTTGTGTGGGGAGAAGCAAAATATGCTGAGTACTGTGTGAAAAGACGTGTTCAAATGTTGACAAGTGTGATTATCACATAAATACATTAATAAAATAGTTTGCCCCAACCTGGTCCTTTTAATTTGCTCTGTATAAATATATAAAGCCATTATCTTTTAAAATTCTGTCACACTTGATTCATTTTGTGAGTGAAATCTTGATATCTGCAGTTTTCATAGTTACATATTGTAGAAGCATATACATTGTTCAGTTTGACCCCTGAGTCAGTCTGAGCACTAATGGGACACTTCTAGGGTTTAGAATTGTTGAATGAAAAGTCAAAGTATTTGTCTTCTTTCAAACATATACAGAATTTTCACCTTTTCAAATATTTAACACCATCATCCGTAGATTTCTATAAATTGCCTTTCTGATGTACGATTGTGTGCACTCAGGGTCATCTTATGCTGTAAAATTGTAGAAGTACATTCAGGCAGGGGAGTCTTTTCTGTTTGCTGTATCAATAAACAGCCACTTCAGGCCCTTCAGGAAACCAGCAACACCACTTGATCTGTGGTGCGAAGACCATTAGGGCCAGGTATATTGATGGCGCCACAGTGCTGCAGCTCAGCTCTCCTAGTGTGAGGCAGCGTCTGTGCCGAGAGGACACTTGTTCACTGTGTGTTTCCAATCACACGCCGGCCATGCCGCGATGCCTAATGGCCTCACGCTCAGCCTGTCACAGGAAAGTGCCTGGTGTACTGCGCATGTGCTCCTGAACAGCCTTCGTCCCATTGGGTGCAGTTCAGGGACTTGGGCAGATGGGATACAGGCACCAGGAAGAGAGAACAGAGGGAGGGTTTGAAGGGGAGAGTGAGGGCAAAGGGACGGCGTGGGTGTGTGTTGCTTCTGCCCATCCGTGCATTCAACATGCCATCCAGAGACCCCCTTTTGTGAACTGCCCACACTTCATTAGAATGCCAGGATAATGGCCAACAAGCACGCGCCGTGACACCCCATTTCCTGTGCACTGAGCTCTCCAACCACGACAGATGTCGACAGTGTTGCTGCCGCCACTACTGCAGGCCCCTCCACTTCCTGCCTGCTTGGCTAAGTCGCTGTCCTGCCGCCAGGGAAGAAGGGGCACCCGGGGCAATTGTGTACACCAAAGAGGGCACCGTTGCAAATCTGAGGCACTTGTGGTGTGCAAGACTTTTATTTTTTTACCAGATAGTTTTCAAATCTCACTTTTGGAGTTAATAGCTGATTTACTACTCAAGCGCTTGGGATTTCAACATGGCAAAGGATCATTATGTTTTGTTCCCCATCTCACTGCTGCCACCCCTCCAAAGTCCAAATGATCTATCTGTAGACAAAACATAAACAGATGTTTCGGTGGCTCTTAGGTGTCCTCACTGGGGATGTGAATGAGGAGGAGGGGTGATCAGTCGATGTGTGTTTGTGAGCATCAGGGACAATCTTGTTTTAAAAGGTGTTATCACGCTCTTGCGGCAGCGTGACATGTGCACCGGTAATATCGGCAAGGCTGGATTCAAAGTGCTGTCACGGACACATAAGGAGAGGGAGCAGGGGCCGTGGACCGAGGCTAATGGAGGCAAAACAACCTCCAACTCCTACGCCTGCTGTCCAAAAATCAGCTTTTAGAGGGAAAACACAGACTACCTCTTAGTGCTCACGCAACACGAGATGTCAGTATGAGAGGTGATTTGATCCCCTCATTTGAATATGCATCCTTGGAAAGAAAAGCCCTCCCTCCTCCTTCTCCTCTGTGTTTTGAACCTGACCAGATTTCAGGACTGTTGGGGGAGGAAATTGTTTTACATTTCCTGACAAATTGAGTTAAACGGACATTAAGTAGGGCTTTAAGAAAACAAATGGTCGTCTTTATCACAGGTGGACACTGATGGCTTAATGGGGGCCTGTGAGCCGATCGTATCACCAGCTAATGGCTTGACAGGATGCATTAAGGTTTTTGTGCAAAGAACCGGCGGACAGGGCCAGGCAAAATGGCGAGATGCAGCCCTGTCAAGTGCTGCGTCCCCCCCTTTTTTTTTTTTTTTTTTTTTTTTTTTTTTTTTTTGTTCTGGGGAAGCAGATGTTTGTGTATATAGGGTGGACTGGCAGAGAGGAGCTGGGAGCAGATGCCTGTTCCAGTGCCAAGGTTCAGGATTGTACAGACGGTACATGTTCAGAGAGAGAAAGCTGCCCTCCCTCTGCCATAGGTGGCTCCCCAGCTGAATGACCCCCACCCACCCCACTTCTGCTTAACCACAACAGAGTCCGACCCCTTTTATTTATTCATCTATTTGTTGAATTATTTACTCATTCCACTGCTCGTTTGGCCATTTAATGAGCAGCCTGGAGGCAGAGGAGAGATGGAGCATTGACTTCAGGCACAGATGACCGTTTCCTTCATTTATTGGGGAAATAAATGCAAATGCTATTATATTATAAGCTTTTACAGTGTGTGCTAAAGAGCTGAAAAGTTGTTTCAAAATATGACAACTAAATACTGATTCAAAGTTTGGTCTGAAATTCAGTCCATCTTTTGTAGCCACAGACACCTAAACACAGGCCTTTACTCTGGAGATGGTCGAATTCTCTTTCAAAGATGAAATGATTTGTCACCTGCTTTGCTAACTAGTTGCTTTTAGCTGCTTTGCTTTTGTGGTTCATGTGTTGATACCAGTCTCTGGGCTTCCTGCCATTACCCTAACACAGTGGAAGTGTTTTTGTGTCTGTTTGAAAAACTCAGCTTCTACTGTTTATAAAGAGACACATTCGGTTTTGGTTCCCAAATGTAATTTTGAGAAACAAAACAACAGAAACCACAAAATAATTTCAGCTGAAAAGCTGACTGAAGGTGAACAGTTAACCTCTTGTCAAGTGCTGGGGAATTTCCTGTGGTATTTGATATTTATTGTAATCCACAGTCTGACTATTAGAAATAATGCAGTGAACCTGCACAAGCTAAGTCAGCATAGACATTTTTCTCACGTATTTGTATTCTTGAATTTGAGTGTTCTGAAGCAATCCAATGTTCATCTCTCTTAATATGAGCACTTCATTTGAACTTAACAGCATTTAAACAGTGAATTTTGGAAAATTATGAACATCACAAACTGTCCTTTCCCTCTTTAAGTTCACATTGCAGTGAACTTTTTATTCAGGTTTACTATTTGACACCTTCATACAGACAAGCATTATCTTTAGCTGTTAAGATTCATCTCATTCTTTTGTTAATGACATCTATTGAATGAATACACCAAAGTGCCAGAGCAGAAAAGGGGAACACCTCAGCCGTTCATTATGAGCCAGCCTGTGTAAGGCAGTGATGTAGTTGGTTGACACTGATGATCCCGCTGACACCTCGGCAACCTCTGCTCAATGCTTCCCAGCACGATGGAGGTTCACACCTCTGACACCTCCCTGTAGTATTGACTTGAAGAGGGAATTTGTCCTTTTGTGCTCCACCACCCCCATCCTCCTCCTCTCTTCTGCTTCACCCCCACGGCTCCCCTGTTTTGGAAGGAGAGCTCTGCTTTGCGAAGGTACAGCTTGTTTTATTAACATCAAAAGTGCCCGTGGGAGATGGCAGTGATCAAATTCCCCTCTAATTAAAATGAACCTGGGTTGAGAATGTTGGGCTGTTTAATATGTACAGAACAGTGCTGATTGCATAAAGTGGCAACTCCTTTTGTTGGTGTGGACATTGCGGGCCCCTCCGAGACACCGACGTGGGCAGAATGAGCGTACCTATATAGCATTCTCACAATCTGGGTGATGTCCTCATTGCTGTCGGATGTGAGACTGATGTCAGATGTGGCCAGTGAAGCCTACGCCTCACCTCGCCTTTAATTTGGAGGGTGATTGATGGACCTGGAGGCGATATTGCAGAGCATTCAACTCCTGTCTAGGTTGCCTCCTCCTCCACCCAGAGCCAGTGCTGTTTGGCAGCTCTTCCCTTGTCCTTGCCTCCCAAGACACCTCCAAACTTTCTGAGAGTTCAAGTTCACTTTGCACTTGATTCTCAGCTTGTAACGCGAGCATCACCACAGCGTGGGATGTAGTATTTGCAAAAGAAGTCCATCCTTTGAGGTTAGATAGTAGGCATATGTTGCTTTTTTTGTTTTGTTTTGCTCATGTATGTGAGGGATTCAGGCACATACCAAATATTTAAAGGAACAGCAAGTACTGTATTTGTTTTGTCAAAATAAATGAACATGAGGAACCCTTAAAACATGTTTTTCTTCTTCAAATATGTGGAACATTGTCATATTTTCTCAAAATTTTGACTTTGTCCCACAACAGTCACCTTGGTTTTAGGATAAGAATACTTCTGCTTCTTGTTTCGAGATATTTATGCTCATTTCTAAAAATAGATGAAACTTCATTGGGAACACGGCGGGCTGTTTCATCAGCTGGATGACTGATTGATCCTATTTTAAGAAAACATGTCTTCATGTCAGTAAAGACTGTAAGGGCCTTAGTCCTTCAAGATCAGGGCATTAGCATAATACCCGACTGTACATATAATATACTTCTTACAGTTACAGATTTTGTGCCGGATCTGCTGTTGGCATTGTGTTGTAAACACTCTCATGCTGCTAAGTCCTAAGTCAACCTGTCGTTACACTTTAGTCGCCACTTGTGATGAGAATAAAAATTTGTTGCGATCTTTTTTCTTTCTGGACGTTGTCTCTTGCTTGGGGATTTAAGATTCAGGTTTCGACTGGTTATGACAGTGCAAGCTTTGCAGAGAGGTGAGATGAGGGATACAAATTCAATTTAGGTGTTTTGGCCGATCAATGACAGCAATCCAACCATGATCTCAGGTTATGAATACCTGAGCAGAGGTTTCATGCAATGCATACAGATGTTGCACAACTCTAGAGCAGAACTCCTGGTTTGGTGATTGAGAGTTACCTTGCACTTGCAGTGTGACCTTTGACCTCTACACTGCTAAACAGCACAAGGACGTAATGCTGGAATGAGCTAGTGCTACCCTGAGCAGATCATTTCGATGAATACTTCTAGGCCAGCGACTAAGATACATGAGGTCACTGCTTAATCGCTGCATCAAAGCATCATCTAACTGATGCTGATTCTATAAACCTGAATTCTCACAATCTTTTTAAGTGTATAGTTACAGTATCACTGCTTTTAATTTAACCCATTTTATATTTGATTACAGGAACTAGCAGCACTAAGATCACAGAGTCAGAGACACAGATTGGATATTCTATATTTGATTAGTAATGAAAGATAATCTTAGTCCAGAATGGACATCCAGAGTCGTTTTGGAAGAAAACTCTTTGTTTGTGTGTGTGAACATTTGTTAAATGTGCAGCACATAATCAGCACACAGCACCACATTCAGTCTGAGTGGATTCCTGCAGACTGGAATCCAGGCTTTGCTTTTTACAGCCGTCCCACCCTGCTGTCAGACTCTGGAGCAGGTAGCTTGCACTCCATTAAACAAACACTGTGGCCCCTCACTTTTATTTGACATTTTATTTGGCTGTGACAAACGAGCAGCAGTTGGATTATAACATAATTTGTCTCCTCTTTATTACCGGCACAAAGGACACCATTCATTAATTATTCTGCCGTTGCAGCTCAACACTAACTGGAAAGGTCCCTCTTTGGACAGATGGCGAGGACAATGTTATTTATATCAATCAGTCCAAAATGTTCAGCGAGGATTACTGTTCCTTGGACCACTTTGATTTATGTCTCTGCACCTCGCCCTGTACCCAACCTCACTGGCTCCTGCAGGGACACTTTAATCGAATGGGAATTGAAAACAAACTGCAGCCAATGTGTTTCGGCATTTTTATTTATACATCTTACTTTTCTTATTTCCCCCTTCAAAACTAAAGTTGTCCTGTTGTTTCTTTTCAGGGAGGGGGTTTAACTTGAGGAGGATTGGTTGGATCTACATTTTCTTTGGCAGTGATCACTGTCGTCCAGTGGCAGGATCAATACACTCTGCAGGTATGACTGTTCATGCAAAACACCACTTGCAGAGGCTTCTTAAATCATATTTATAAAACTGCAGTACAAGGCCTCTTACATTAAAATACCTGTCACAAAGTTGTATCTGTTCTACTGTAACATGGTGGAGGACCCAAGCCCAGGTTTTTGTGGTTGTAGTATAACCAGTAAATGATAGAGTAGACATATCCTGGTCACTGAGACCCAGTGTTATCCTGGTTTCTCAAAACCAGGATAAACCTCTCTGAGAGAAACTAGAATACATAGGTCAGATTTCTATCAGTATCCACTATCTGCATAACATGTATATAGGTGATGACAGATTGTTAAATGCATGTATTCCTGTTGGTTTTTGGTCTTGCATTTGTCAGCTAAAGTCTACCTGGAGGCTGGTTAAATGCAAACTCAGGCTCTGTGCTGCAATTTGTAGTAGTTAAAATGATGAATCTAAAGCAGCAGAACATGCAACAGACGTACAGGTCTGCCCCGACACCGCCCCTAACAACTCATCATTACCTTTCTTCTCTGCATGCTAACCAGTCCCAGAGCAACACTTGGTGGCTGGGCGCTGTGATTTACACATGGGTGGAGAGAGAAAAAAATATATTTTGCAATGAATAACATTTACAGAGTAATTAGTTTTATGCAAACTAGTGAAGATGAAAGCAAAAATCTTTATAAATTATGAATTGTGTTATAAGTTATCAGGGGTGCTTATCATCGAGTTAACACACCTCCTCTTTAATTAAAAATGTTCGCACACAGTCAAAGGAGGGAGAGAGTTCACCGGCAGACTCATCAGGTAGCTGCGTGTCAGAGAAAACCTGTTCTGAAGGAAGCCTTTGTTCCCGCTGCTCGTTCTTCAAATCTCAGATCAGGGCCAGCACTTGGGCGAGCGAGGTAAACAACAATAAGGATGCGAGACTGGCAGAGAGAGGAAGGGAAACAAATGCTGACAGGTGTAAGGATGTGGCTGAGCCCTGGCAGGGATACAGCTGCAGCCAGTGGACAAAAACACGCTGACAGAAGACATGAGCTCTAGGTAAAAACCACTCTGATTTCCCCTCTTTTCCCTTCCTGAATCTACATTCTTCCAAACGTTTGCCCATTGACTAGGAAAATCTCCATGGGCCCCTGATGGTCCCTGGCTCGGCATGAGGATGCCCAGGCGCTACAGCAACGCTCATAAAAACTCAATTCATCAAGACGAGCGTAATTTGCTCCGAACGGAAAGCGCCACAAAAGGGGGCGAGCTTGTCAGCGAGACAGGTGGCTGGAGATCTCGCTCTGATACTGAGCGATATGAATAATAGATTCTGCTAAATGTACGCCAGGACCCGGGCTGTAAACACAGCTGCCTCCTTTCCCTTCCAAAAGAACAGCTTGGCTGGATGAGAAGCCCGAGCGCTCTGCCTCCACCTGAGGACTGGGGGGGCCAGGGAGGGGGGCGATTAACTAATCAAATGCACAGGCTAAATAGGAGGCAAGGAGACAGACAAAGGGAAGGGGGAGAGGTGCAAGTCATGAGGTTTACCCTCACTGGTTTTAGCTATAAAGCACTGAGCAGCACAAAGAAGGTCGATTAGTGGGAAATTGATGTCAGTCTAAACATTTAAAGTGTTTAAGTCCTGAACACAATGCTTTATGTGCATCATTTAAAACATAACCATGACCTCCTGACAGCAGCTGTAGGACATTCATGTTTTGATAAATGACATTATTGGACAAGTCAGTTTTATTTTTCTGTTTCACTGATTTGTCACAGAGGACTCTTGTATGCCCCCCTACCCTTAGACCCAAGATTTAGCTAAAAAAAAAAAAAAAACTCCCCAAAAACCTTTTAATAGTAAAACAAAAGGAGGAGGCAAAAAGGAAGAATCTTTCAAAACATGTCGTACACCCTACATTTCCATGTCCACATAGCTGCAAAGATCTGCGTCAGGTCTATGAGACAGCCAAGAATTTATGACCTCAAGGACTGATCGTGCACACAAATGTGTTAATACTCACATGTATGTAGACTCCCAGTGCAGTTTAGTGTCTTTGTCCTTTTGGAGTATATCTAGCTTGGACCAACAATGATGTGTGTGTTTTTATCAACCACACTTAAGCTTTTATTGTATTTGAATTAACATTATTCTGTTTCTTTTGTGTTGTCTTCAGTATTTGATTGTTCTCATCCTGCTCTCACTCATTCCTGCAATCTGTAATCACAACCCCGTCAGCTAGGTGGACATACGTAAGCATGAAACCCTAAGGAAGAACAAAGAATGTAAGCAAACTGAACAAGAACATTTAGAGTTAAAAGAGCTAAATTTGATCTGTAATAGCCACAAGGCAAGTCATTATTGTAAGTTAGGCTCCTATATTCACTCTACCTGACTGAACTTAGAGGCACGTTTGTCCACATTTTTACTTAATGAGCATTTTCACCAGTCGATATCTCAGAATTTCAACACATAAAACCTAGTGAGAGAGAACATGAGGAGATATCATTAAGTTATATTTAGGAGGCCTGTCCTCTACGCTGGAAACCTAACAGAAAATTGAGGTGTTAAATTTATTACTTTAAGGGACTCATCTTTATGTTTTGTTGTTTGCTTGGATTAAGGGATTAAAGCAGTTACTTAAGGGGAAAAGTCTATCTTTTCTTTTTTCCTCCTGTCCTTGTTTTTTGTGTTTCTAAGTCAAATGCTCTGAATAATGCAGAGGCTATGATTGGTGTTTGTTTTGGCAGGGACTTTGTGAGCTTCAGTTCTGCAGGATAGAGTCACATGTTGTGAGGAACATCGTAGCGGTTTACTCATGGATGTGTTTACTCATGAATTATCACGTGCGTCTCGCCAGTGACTCACAGTGGACTACATTTCCTTGCTGATGTAATTTTCCTGCGCCCAACACCGCCGCCCACACTTCATCGGCGGCTGCTCCTCTGCACATTTGATGACTCCCCAGATGAAATTTAGGGGGATTTTGCCCAGCCGAAGGTAATTAATTCTTCAATTAAAATGTTGTTAAACATTTTTAATGAGTAATTGGCACTGGGGAATCGGATAGAAAACTATGTTTAACCAGAGACAGACAGACAACACGGATCTTTCAAAGTTGGTTTCTGCAAATCTGTTCATTGACCCACTTTTGTCTCTTCCCTGAGTACTGCACGGCACAGAAATATAAATAAAAAATCTAATGTGAAGTGTCTCCTGGCACAGAGGATGTGTCCTTCATCTCAGGTGACTACAGCTTCATTTGGCTACCTCTCTTTTTTTCAGTTCCCCCTAATTAGGGCACGAGATGACACAAAACAACCTGAGACAAAGTTGCAGTAACTTTTGGACATCGCAGTGCTGTAACAAGATCCACTTAACCTGATTTCACTTCAGTGTGAACACAGACAGAGAAGGAACAGGGCATGTTTCATTAAACACCAGCAAAAGACATACATTTCAAACATTCTTAATTTTCAACTTGTTCTGGGAAGTTCCTCCTATTTTTTGAGACTTTCTAAAGTTTTAAAAACAGCTGAGATTAAAAGAGCCATTTAAAATGAGTCCTGATCCATCGCCCTTGACTTTCAGTCACTGAGCACCGCATAACACTTGCTAAAGGAAAAATGTTTAAAGTCCAAGCTCACTAGACGGTAGGTAACCTTCTGAGCAGCCTACAGGCTGCATGAGTATACCTTCTTAACTGGAATCTACTGTAGTTTATCTCCAGTCCTCCACTTTTGTCTGTGTGCCATAATCCTCTGTAAATCATGACAAACATGTCTATCGGATGGAGTCCACCATCCTCTGCAGCAGGAGGAACAGGGATTTTGTTGCGTATTTACAAGCCGCAACGTAAGCTAATCATGAAGCTAGTTTAGGGAGCCTCAGTTCATTACAGCTCTGCACTCGGTAGGTTCCTGGCATTGTTCTCTCAATTAGAGACTTGTAAATGTGTTGCTTGCTTAATCACCCAAAAACTGGCCCCTAGGACTTCCCCCTAATGCAACCCCATTAAGAGGGGCCATCAAAACAAAAGATCTGCCTCTAATGGCAATAATCCCTCACTTCTGTCACACCGAAGCCAAACTTGTATCTTAAATGAGTGATGATGGATGAGAGCAGGCCTCTGTGTCAAAGAGCTATATTACTGGTGATTGATGTGTCGGGCACGCCGTGCAAAAACCTAGATCAGGGCCCCTCACTGTCAGAGCCGACCCATCCCAAGTGAGTCTCACTTAACCCCGCATTTCTGGAAGTCAGATGGCCGCTTGTGGCGCTGGGGGGGAATGGAGGGAGAAATCGGGGCTTATCCAAACAAGCTCATTAGCACAATTAGCCCTCGTTTCTTGCCGATGGACCCCTAGAGCTCTGCAAACTTTGACTACAATTCATGACTCAGGCGACAAGTCGCAGGGCCAAGGATGAGTGACAACCAGCTGCTTTTACAAGCCAAAGACGGAATCTCAAAGCAGGTGGTGCCACATATTTCAGGCTGATCTGTAACTTGGGGTTTGGGTGGAAACGTAATTTTTGTGTTTTTTGTCAGATATTTTTGTTGCTTGGCTTGTGTAGGAGTTCCAGATGAGAAGGCTTTGCCTAATAGAACCAAATCTAATCAGAGATAGTTCACCCATATCTGTCAATCATTGTAGTGACTCTTGAAAAGGGACATTTTGACATTGTCAGTCCATTTCTAGATAAATGTAGGTTTTGCTGCACACATCTACATTTATTCATTGAGTGCATTTAGGTTTGTTCCTGCCTCAGCACACAACCCCCAACAACAAAAATGAGACCATCAGGTGACTTTAAAATGCAGCATTTAATATCGTCTTTTGTCTAGCCATGTTTTTTAGGTGCAAATTATTTGTAAATCATAACAAAAGCCTTGCATAACATATTTCATACAAAAGAATCTTTACATCTACCTCGGTTCAGATTTTCAGCTTTTTTCTTTTTGCCGCCTCTGTTTTCCCTAACCTTTGACCTTTTTTACTTAGTGTTTGTAGCCCTGTCCATCTAGGATCTGAAGCTTCCTCTGGTGCTGCACTCCATGTTCGTCAAGTTTCCGTATAAGAGCACCTGCTAAATAAAGCTGCTGCTTCCTTGCATGCTGTACACAAAGCTGCTGCAGCCATGAAGGTGCAGCACAAAGACACAAAACCCCTCTACTTCGTATTCTTCTTAATTATATATGGAAGCCATTATATTCCCCAGGCAGCCCGGTATATTTAAAGTAACCAGAGTCCTTCCAACACTTCTCCTCTCAGGGATCTCATACTTAACATGAGATCTGCTCTTAAGGGAGCCTCCTCTGGGTACGCAGGCTGGAAAGAGCCAATCACAGCTGCCACAGCTCCACCCCAACACTCTGGCTCATTACATATATTTGAAGTGCAGTGTTTGTAGATGTATATCTCAGCAGAAGACAGTTTTAACATTCACAGCAGCTGATGATTATTCTTATTTGAATTGCAAACATCCTAAAAATATGATCAGTGTGAGGTGTTAATTACCTTAAAGTTGTCATTCTGAATTTGTTGTATGTGCCAAAGCTGCTACTAGCAAAATGAATTAGAATTACGCCTGTACATTCTGCATTTAAACACTGAGTTTGCACAAATTCATAATTTTTTTTTTCATTTTCAATATCTATACTATAAGTGTGCAAGTGGTTTTTTTTCCAAAGAGTTGGGGAGATTTGTCATTAAAGTTAAGCCATTTGCAAAATTAATTTAAGTTGAACTGTAAGGATCTTATACTGCACCTACTAATCCCCACCTGCTGTATGCATTTTACTAAGCAAGCCACATATTGTGCACATGCACTACTAAATATTGATGCATAGTCCCAGAACTGAATTTTGCAGACCCATGTCTCAGAACCTCAAAGTATAGAGGAACTCTTTGCCCTTTTATACTTATACTTTAAATTTAGCGGATAGTATGTGCAGATGCAAACATGAGGAAAGGTATGAAAACCCTTTGCTTCCAACAGGAAGTGCCTCCACACCTCTGTAATTAAAGGCATCGCAGAGCGGGGCTTTCGGCTGCATTAGCAAGTGTCACAGTGACAGGTAATAAAGCAGATCTGTTAATTGCGAATGAATGTGCACACCCCCGTTCCATTAGGCATAAATAATTTGGCCACTTGGGTATGTGCCTCCCAAATTACTTATTCTTTTTGTGCCTCAAATTACCTATTCTTTCTGATGTTGCCTTTACTTGATTAGTGAGCAGTGTGCAACTAGCCATTGGCTTCTTCCAGGTTTTCAGCCTGTTTTCATTTTTCATAAGATGGAATGTTGAATTGGAGCTGTGGATTGGCTGTTGGAGTTGTTTTGTTTGTGCACATACATGGGCCAAGCCACTTTCATTACTGCTATGAATGGTAATTTATGCAGTTATTTCCAACTTTTGCATTTTTGGCGTAGTTCTGTGCAGGCGTTTCTTC